ATAGATAAGTTTTAAGCTTGATATATCATATATAATTAATTTAAAAAATTACAAAATGACAATCATTAAAACAAATGTAAAGTATATATGATTCACAGTGATTTTTTTTACAGTATACAAAGCCCGGGAGCCACTGAAGGTAGAGTTACATAGTAAGAGAATATAATGATGATTAAAAAGAAAAACATTACATAATATAATTGAAAAACAGAAGTTTCCCCATTTGATTAAAAATAAAATTAAACATTGTAAATACAGTATTAGTACAGTATAGATCTAGTATTACAACCAGTATTCAAGGTGCTAATTAATTTAAAATACTTGACTAATACTAATTTCTAAGTAAAAAGTATAAGAAAATTAAAATACATTTTTATTTTTGAATAAAGAGATTGAGAAATACTGTGTGATTTATACAAGATAAATGAAATGTAGTGTTAACAGGTGTCAAAATGTATACACATAGAATAAAATATTTGGGGAAGATAGATTATTATTCAAATGGAATTGGTTTTAAGAATTGGGAAGAGTAAGTGAAATGCAAGAAATCCACCCCATAAAAAGTTGTTTTCAAGACAAACATTAATTTATATTTATTTGAGGATAATTTTGAGAAAAAAAATATCAAAATAGTAAATACATATATTTAAAAGAAGACACTGAGATCAACACTGAGGGGCGACAGTCTGTTTTATGCTTGAACACAATCTTCAGACCATTATATATATATATATATATATATATATATATATATATATATATATTAGCATGCTATTAATTAAAACCCAAATAATAGGATTATTTACATAATGATATGCATTTCTGCCAGAGATCAGTGTAGTAACTGCTGTCACAAATTGAACTGCAGTAACTATGCACTGTGAAAATGACAATACAATATTATATATATATATATATAGTATTAATGCAAATAATTTTTTTTCAGTGAGCTGTTTGATGTTATATTTAGCACATTATATATATATATATATATATATATATATATATATATATATATATATATAAAATGCAAAGTGTACGGATACCATTATTGATCCACATACATTATTGAAAAAATCATATCTTGATAGTTCTTAGCAGAAATGATCTAAAATTTTCATTTTATATTTAATCTATGTAAATTTATAAATACAATTAAATTAAGTGCATTGACAATGAAAGATTTTGTTGTTTAAAATAGATTCTTTTTTACTCATTATTAGGCTACTGAATTATAGAGGTATGAACATATTTACTACAATTAATTTCCATTATAAATGCACCTATGATGAAAAAATATTTGTGTAAAATAAAGGCTCTTTTCACAATTAGGTTACTCTATCTTAACCTGTTCAAATGTATCTGTCTGTCTATCTATCTATCAACCTTTTCTAGTTTATCTGTTTATCTATCTATCAACCTTTTCTAGTTTATCTGTTTATCTATCTATCAACCTTTTCTAGTTTATCTGTTTATCTATCTATCAACCTTTTCTAGTTTATCTGTTTATCTATCTATCAACCTTTTCTAGTTTATCTGTCTATCTATCTATCAACCTTATCTAGTTTATTTCATCTATCTATTTCTTTTAGTTTATCTGTCTATCTATCTATCAACCTTTCTAGTTTATCTGTCTATCTATCTATCAACCTTTTCTAGTTTATCTGTCTATCTATCTATCAACCTTTTCTAGTTTATCTGTCTATCTATCTATCTATCAACCTTTTCTAGTTTATCTGTCTGTGTCTATCTATCTATCAACCTTTTCTAGTTTATCTATCTCAACCTGTTTTAATTTAACTGTCTATCTATCAACCTTTTCTAGTTGATCTATCTGTCTATCTATCTATCAACCTTTTCTAATTTATCTATCTGCCTGTTTCTCTCTGGTTTATCTTGCTATCTGTCTATCAATATGTTCTGGTCTATTTATCTCTCTCACAACCTTTTCTGGTCTATCTGTCTCTCAACATGTTCAGCTCCACCCTCTCTCTTTCTCTCTTATGTGTGTATGTATATATATATATATATATATATATATAATATTCTTAAAATAAGTATACAAAGATTACTTAGCAGTAAACTATTCATATTCAACTTTGAATAGAGATTTCAAGTTTTATTTGAATTTTTATGTATATACACTATCTATCCCTTTCTAAGTGCTCAAGAGTTTTACCACAAAACAAAATATAAGTAACTGTTTTCATTGGTATTTACCTACATATTTGAAACATATCTATGATTAATTATTAAGAATTAAAGAAAAAGAAAAAATTCATAACTGAGTAAACATTAGATATTTACATCTATGTTTTTGTTTTAGTTTAAATTGGTATTATAATTTTCAAATAGTTTCATACCTTTTTCCTGTCAATTATTAACATTTGTTAAAATTGAACTCTAAACAAAATGCAGAGAAATAACTATTATATAAGTAACATGTGATATAGTAACTTGTAGAGCATTAGTATTAAGTTTGATTCCCACTGGGTGCCCTATACTTCTGACCTTATTCCAAAACTAAATCTAATTTTTGGAATAATTACTTTCAGAGTGCCGTGGTATGAGATAATAGTGAAAGTCTATGAACGAGTTTGACCCTCACTGAGCATCCCAGCTTAGTATTTAAAGTTTTTCTGCATGTTATAATGGTGAGTGAGTTACCTTAATTATTTATTCGTACCAATGCATTTGACCCTCATTATATGCCTCATGCTTCTGATCTTGTGTCAAACTAAATTAAGTTTAGAAAATAAAAATAAGCACTTGTCATTTTGTAATGGTTAACAAGCTGAATTTGATCACCATACCTAACAGTTGTGGCCTAGTACCAAATCTATATTATACTTAGCAATTATCAGAGAGCACATTGGTATGTTACCAAGCCAGTCAGCCTTATTACTTAATAGTAAGTTTGTTCCTCACTGAGTGCACAATTTCTGTGACAAAATTAAGCTATGCTTATAAGTAATGTTATCATCAATAATTCTTTTATTTTAATTTGTAGACAAGTATTTTTTAAACTTTACCTTATTAATTATTGGATACAATTTATAGGGATGTTTATAAATTTTAAGTTATAATTCTCTCCTACAAGTGACAATTTGTCTGTGTCCATAACTGATTACAGGTGTAAACAAACGTTTATTATTACTCAAAATGCCACCAAGTGAAGTTACTTCAACAAATATTGACTAAAGTAGACGTTTGGTTTAAAAAAAGTTGCAGTTTTAAATTTTTTCTTACATTTCAATGTTTTTATTTAATGCAATAGAAATATTTTAAATATTAAAATTTATACTCTTTGTTTTAATAAACAATACTGAAGTAGAAAACTACATAGAGATTATATTCAATATTTTCTAACACATGACAAAAATGTAAGCACTTCCATATTTATATTTTAAGTAAAGAAACATGCCAGTTATATTTTTAAATTGTGGATTTATAAAAACCAAAAGTTTAAAAATATAATTTGCCCTATTTTCTTAAATAAAATAAAAACAAACATTTCAAATATTTGACTGAATTGATTATTTACATATGAATATTTTGACTGATATTTATGACAAAATACGGCCATATCATGTTGAAACATTGGTTCCTGTACGATCACCGAAGTTAAGCAATGTCGAGCCTGGTCAGTACCTAGATAAGTGACCACTTGGAAATACCAGGTGCTGTAAGTTTAAATTTGAGGGTGGTGTAAACGGCTAAGAAATTGAAATCGGAGAGCAGAGTTCCAATTCCATTAGGGTTCGTTAAATTCACTTACATGCAAATACTCTTTTTAGGAAAGGTATGAGTCCACCTCTTCACTTACATCTATGGGTTTAAGATTTGTGTCAATAAATATCTATTTTCTCCCCCAAAATTATTACAATCTAAAAATATTTTCTGGCTTTAAATTTCCTGCAAAAGGTTGATAAGCCGTAAAAAAAATCAATCAATAGGAAATATATATATATATATATATATATATAATGAACATGTGTGTGTGTTTTTAGCGTGATAGCGCTTTCATTTCTAGATAGTGGTCCACAAATTGTAGTTTTATGCCAGGCGCGGATTACTAAAATACTAAATGTTAATATAAAAATTGTTAATTTTAAAATCTTTAAGGAAAAAACTTACATAATTTTTTTCTAATCAAAAATAAAGTATGAAAGCATTTTTTAAAAAAAAAATTTTTTACATATTTTTTCATCGTATACTCACAAAGTTTCGACTATATTGTAGATTCCGACCTTCTTCAGGATGGAAAAAAAAACAAAAAAAAAACAATGATAATTCTTCGTTAAAAATTTCCGGTATAACATTCTTTAAATGACATAAGATTTATTAAAAGCATACTGGAGATTATTTAGAATGTAACCAAAATAAAATCGATAAATTGTCACCTGTTGGAAATTAGAATATATTTCTTTCTAGCTGACTGTTAATTAATAGGGATACATCCCTATAATGTATGTAGAAATAATCAAAACTCAGTTCTTTTATATAAATGAAGTAAAAACTGTTAGTCATTTTAAATAACGATTGAAAATCATTCTTGAATTTCTCTTAAAGATTCACAATAAACTTCCCCATGCATTCTCTCATCTTAAAGCGAATTTGCATATAAAAATATTTAAACAGAAAATTTATTTAAGAAATAAAAAGGTCATACTAACAACTTTTAAGGTAATTCGAAAAAAATTAAAATAATATTGTCATTAAGAATCTCAAATTAAATTTTGATAAAACTGACATAATCAAAATCAACAATTATTTTGTTTCTGTTATAGTCCTTCAGGTTTAAACCTTGTTTTAAATTTATAATTTAAGTGTAATTAAAATTATAAATTTATTAAAACTATTTTAAAATAAGAAAAATATCGATATTGTTTAATTTGGGCAGATTCATTTTTTTAAAATTACTTACAAGTCAATAAATGCATACTGAAAAAAAATAAAATAAAAACGAAAGGTTAAACTTTAACCTTTCGTTTTTTTTTTTAAAGTAATCAAAAAACTTTAATTCAGAGAATCATCGCAATTAAAAACGGTAATCAGAATTGACGTAGAGAAAAAAAATTAATATATTGTCTCACAGACTTTTAGTTGAAAAATGCCTTAAATTTTCTAGAAAAAGAGATCGATAAATTTAAGTTATTAACCATGCAAAAAGAAAATTTATCTTACAATCATTTTATGCTAAAAGCAAGGAGAAAAAAAAAGTGTGCGTGTGTGAATGGGAGTCAATAATTCAGTGGTTGTAATCAAGGAAGCGGAAAAATTTCGTCAGTAACAATGAAAAAGTGTTGGATTGCTATGTAATATCCAGCCTCTTCTAGCGGTGAATGTTAGACAATCTCCCCACGGATGAGGAGAAAACTAGAGGAACACACAAATGTGGTTCTACAGAAGGATAGTGAAAATTCCATGGACGGAGCGAGTAAGTAACAACAAGGGACTTTTAAAGAAAAAAATGGCAACAATTATACACAGAATTAGAAAAAGACAGCAGAAATTTCTTGGGCATAATGAGGAAGGAGGGCCTAGAAAAGTTAACCCTCAGATGTCATATTGGACAAGAGAGACAGAAGGCAGTGAGCCATTTTCCTGACGAGTGTGCGTGAATGGATGGCGAAACGTAGAGCTTAAAAGAAACAAAACTCCTAAAAGTGTCACACAATAATTGTAGAAATTCATGATCGCCAATGTCCTGATGCGTCGCTGCACATTGATTTCAATTCGAATTGATTCTTCTGATAGACAAATCAGTATAACTTGGAAAACACCATATAAAAAAGAACTAGTATTACTATTAATTATTAGAAAGTTGTTGTACTGTATCAAAATGTACAGACTTGAAAATGTAAAACACAACTGAAGAGAGGGAATTAAAAAGGATTTAGATTTAATAAAGAAACGTTTGAGAAATTATAATTTTATATAAATAATCTGGGAAAATATTTTCAAAAAAGAATCTTGCAAATTTTCTTTACTTTTTTAATGTTCAACAATTTGTTTAAAATATTTGATGTTATAAAAGTTATAAATGGGAACTTTCCGGATAACATCCATCTTCCCCTTTTTTTAGTACCTTCCCTTCAAGATATGGGCGATCATGGCTCTCCATAATTTCCTCTGCTTTCTAGCTCTTAGCAATATTTGTCTTTTTGCTAACTCTTCTAAACCCCGTTCTGCTAAGCATTTACGTAACCCATTCGCTACTTTTTGTCCGTCTTGCCTTCAATATGTCCTGTGAGTGTCAGGTTTTCCAAGCCATCTTTTCTCATTATGTGCTCTAGAAATTTCAAGCTCCCTGATGACAGTTTACTTAAAATGTTTGCAATCACTGCAAAGTAACTGTTATTCAAATATTTGGAGGATTGTGATTTTTTTTTAATTGTTCTAAGTTCTGTAACTTCCAGACATACTGTAGGATTGTTATTATTTATTCCTACTACATTAAATCATTTTTTAAAGATATTTCTTTTATGTTTTCATTATTATTAAGTCAACTATATCGCTATTGACGTTTTACATTAAACAGATAAAATAACGTACTATACAAAAACAAGTGATTTTATTACCAGAGATAATGATTTTTCGATGCATGTACAAGAAAATGGTACATACTCTTAGTTTTATTTTACTTTTAAAGTAATAAAATTGTTAATGATTTTTAATCTGATATAATTATAAAAAGGTAAAAGATCAGACTCAAAAACAAAGTAAAAAAAACTCAAGAGGATGTTATAATGAAATATTTTAAAAGGAGGAAATTGAAATATGGTCTTTCTAAAATGTGGTTAAAAACTTGCATGTTTTTTTAACTTGTCTTTGTGGGAGATTGAAAATTATTTAAAATGCTAAAATGTTAATTCTGCTTTGCTTTAGTGTATTTATTAGAACAGGTGTCATTGACCCGACATATTTTCATTGTTATTTACTAGAAGCTTGAATAAATCAGGGAGAACGTAAACGTTCACGCACTGATAATTAATAAAAAAAAATCATAAAAAATAAACAAATAAAATAAAAACACACTTTAACTAGATAATGATTCAAAGACGATTATTATATAAGAAAACTAGAAGTTTAAGAAGTAAAATAATACTAAATAGCGTTTTACAACTTCAAACATTGACTTTACTGTTTAATAGGGCCGTAGCAGGCGGGGATAGGGCTCGGATCCCCCAAAATGTTTACCAGTAGTCTTTTTTAAAGGGTTTTTATTTTAACAAACATACAATAAAGAAAGAAACACAAGAAAGAAAGAAAAAAAAAGCTATCAAAGCAAGGAAGAATATTACTTTCATAAAATCCAGATGAAAGAAATTTTACTTTAAAGGTGTTACTATGATGGTAGGTAATTTCCTTTTCTCTATGATTTCAAACATGATTCCTTACCTACCAATCTAGAGAGGTATTGGAAATTTAAATGTTCTTGCCGCTAATCATGTTGGCGGTCTTTGATAACGTATTCAAAATTTTTTGCTCTCCACTGATTTGTCCCTGAAATAGATGGTTCTGTTTGGCGTGTAATATATATATATATATATATATATATATATATATATATATATATATATATATGTGTGTATGTATGTGTGTGTTTGTGTGTGTGTGTGTGTGTGATTGAGGATCGTTTTTTTGATGACATGAAAAAACGTAAAAACCCAGGATGAATCAAACTCATATCCATAAACTGAATATATATATATATATATATATATATATATATATATAATTTTTATGTGTGTGTGTGTGTGTGTATGTTGCGTTTTTGGGTAGCAATATTACGTGAGAAAAAAAATGACAAACTTTTGTTTATTTACTGTGTGTGTGTGTGTGTGTGTGTTTTTTTTGGGTTTTGAGCACGATATTTCTTTTTGTGACTGTTTAGTTTATTTTATGCAAAAATAGTCCAAATGCTTATTCGTTCTAAGCGCTTTCGACTGACTGACTGGCCTTTTTCAATAATTTTGTTTGTGCCATTGTAAATGTTGCTGAAAAATATGTATACGTCTCAGTAACTTAAAAATACGAGAATTCCTTAAAATGGCTAATAGATACGCTCAGAATAAAACAAGCATTTCAACAATTACTACGCTCATACCGCCACCCCACCCCCAGAAATCTTTTTTCGCTCACAAACAAAACACAGTTGAGTAAAGAAATAAAGAATTACCTTGCCAGTCATTTTTAATAAAAGATGTTTTAGAGAGCGATTAACTATCTAAATACATAATTTTTTAAACTATTATTATCTCATATTCTGTATAGCAAGAAATTATCGACTATGAAACAAACTAAGTCAATAACAAATATTGACATTTTTTAAAAAGTTTCTCATACAATTTGTCACATACCGGAAATAAATAAAAAAGTTATCTTATAGAAAAAAGAAAGCCTAGAGCTGAGGTGTCATCTAACCAATTCTCTTTTTCATTATCAACACTTACCCAATGTACCGCACAAGCGCGTAATAAAAATGACAGACTAGCTCGGTGATCATTAAATTTCTTAATCGAAAATTTCACTTCTTATTTTTGATAAATAAGCATTATTTCACCCAAATAAAAGAGCTGGTCGCCTTAACATGAATAAATACTTATTTTTTTTCGCCGGCGTTATCTTTATCACGCGAAGGCACTCCGAAATAATTTTTCTTACTTGATCTACTTAGGAAGTC